ACACATGCACAGGAAATTAATGTGAGTCAACTCCCTGTATAGCTATCCTTATATCAACCAGCAAAAACCCTTGTTCCTTCCTATTATTGCTTATACTCTATCTCTTCAACAAAATTAGAGATAAGGGCAAAATAGTTTCTGCCGGGTAGCGAGGGATAAGGGGGAGTAAGGGAGGGGGTGGGGGGGTAAGGGAGGAGGTGGGGGAAGGAGGGAGAAATGACCCAAAGATTGCATGCACATATGAATAAAAAAATAAAAAAGATTTTTTCCCTCTTCTGGGAGCTCTCTCATTAAGGGATGAATAATTCACATATTTTTTTTTAATAAAAAGTACTACTGAATTACCTTAGAGACAGAAAGCCTGTCTTTACTCCCAAAGTTAGTTACAATTTGTCTCATGGAATCAAACAGAATGTAATAAGGACTAATTATTTGTAGAGTCAATAATTATGTTAGGGAGGTCAGAAGGAGGAATAGGAATGTTATTATTGTCAACACCAATTTATAGTGCTGAGCACTTTACATGCATGATCTAATTTAATCTTCATGGAAACTGATGAGTTAGGTATTTTACAGATGAGGATACAGAGTTTCAGAAAAGTTAGGTGAATTATCCAAAGTTATAGAGCTAACAAGTGGAGACGTCTACTTTTAGACCACATAATCTCTGCTCCAGATCTGGGCTCTTAGCCAATAAGCTGTAGTGCCTCCCAGGAACAAGATGTCCCTGTCACTCTTGAACAGAGGCAGAATTGCAATAATGAGAGAGAAAGGTGAACACGTGTGGATAGAGCTACATCCCCAATCCCTTCAGTTTTATTTTTAAACTAAAAATCACTTCACAGCTTTCATGGGCTTATTATAAGGAATAAAAACACTATAGAAAGTACAATGGATGCCTTAAAAACTACCCCCAAATCAAAAAATTCAAAAATTACTATCTTATCATAAGATTACCATTCAAAAATTTCTTTTATTGGGCTGGAGGTGTAGCTCAAGTGATAGAGTGCTTACCTAGCATCCTTGAGGTCCTGTTTTAAGACACAGTATTGCAAATAAATGCTTTTATTAATATTAGGAAAATAGTGTCAGATATATCTTTATTCACACATTAGATGATCTTTGTTTATACAAACAGAAGGATGGATAGATAAAAAATATCTCAATACAGTCTTCATTTGCATTTCTCTTAGAAGTGAGGTAGTCTTCTTGTATGTTTAAAAGTTATCTGTATTTCACTTTCTGTGTACTGTTTATATCTCTCACCCAATCTTCTAATAGGGTTGCTGTTTTTTTCTCATTTATTTGTATGCAACATCCTTGTGTCAAATAAATTAGCTCTTTGTCTTATGAATTGCAAATGTATTCACTTGTCAGTTGGCTGGACTTTATAGTTGGTTTCATAAAGGATTCATGGGTACTTGAAGTTAATGTTTGTTTATTGCTCATATTCCATTTGTTTTACAAATTAATTACTGTGGTAAAACATACATAGCATAAAATTTACTATTTTAACCATTTTTAGATATGCAATTTGGTGGCCTTAAGTTCATTCTCAGTGTTGTAGGGCCATCGCCACCATCCATCTACAGAAGTTTTCCATCAGACTAAACTGAAACTCTGTTCGCACTAAGCACTAACTCCGCATTTCCTCCTTGCTGTACCCACAATTCTATTTTCTGTCTCTATGAATTCTGCTCTACGTACCACATTCAAGTGGAATCATACAATATTTGTCCTTTTGTGTCTAGCTTATTTTATGTAGCATGTTTTCTAAGTTTGGCCATGTTGTGTCACGTATCAGAATTTCATTCTGTTTTTAACACTGAATAATATTCCAGTGTGTGTGAGTGTGTGTGTATCTTATTCACTCATCAGTCAATGGACTTTGGTCTTTTGCAAATATTGATAATTTTAGTATCTGTTTGAGTCCCTGCTTTCCGCTCTTTTGGATATATCCCTCGAAGTCCAGTTGTTGGGTTGTATGGTAATTACTTGTTTAGCTTTCTGAGTAAATGCCAGACTGTTTTCCAGTGTCTGCACCAATTTACAATCCCACCAGCAATGCATAAAGTTTTCAGTTTCTCTGTGTCCTTGCCAACAGGTTATTTTCTCAATTGTTTGTTTATTAAGATGGCTATCCTAATGAGTATGAAGTGTCATCTTTTGGGTTTTGGATTTGTTTTTCCTTGGTGATTGATATCTTCATTCGCTTATTGGCCATTTGTATATTTTCTTTGGTAAAAGTCTACTCTTTTGCCTATTTTAAAATTGAGCTTTTGTTGTTTCTGTTGAGTTGTAGAGGTCTTTATATACTCTTCATATTAATCCCTTTTCAGATAGATGATTTGGAAGTGTTTTCTTCCATTCCATGGGTTGCCTTTTCCTGTGTTGTATCTTTCTATGACAGAAGCTTTAAATTTTGATGAAGTCCTGTTTATCTATTTTTCTTTTATTGTCTATAAATTTGGTGTTCTATTAAAAAAAATCATGGTCACATCCAATGTTGTGAAGATTTTCTACTATATTTTCTTCCCAAATATTCTAGCTGTAGCTCTTATGTTTAGCTCTTTAATCTGTTTTGAGTTAATTTTCATCATTTGTTGAAGACTGTCTTTTCCCCCATTAAGTGATCTTGGCACTTTTTTTTTTTTAAATCACTTGACCATATAAGTGAAGGTTTATTTCTGGGTTGTATTTCATTGGTCTGCATGTCTGTCTTACGGCCAGTACAACTCTGTTTTGATTATTGTAGCTTTACTGTTTCCTTCCAACTTTGGGTATCTTTTATTTATTTTACTTACCTAATTGTGGCTCATACTTCCAGTGCAGCATTGGAAGCTGTGGCAAGAGTGAACATTTTTGCCTTGTTACTGATATTAGGAGGACAGCTTTCAGCTTCTTCATGGAGTATAATGATAACTGGGTTGTTGGTTTTTGTCATAGATACTGTTTGTCATGTTGAGGAAATAACCTTCTATTTCTCTTTGACAAGTTTTTTATTGTGAAAGAATGTCAGATATTAAGTGATTTTTTTGCATTCTCTTTGATTTTTGTACATTGAATCATATTTATAGTCTTGACACAAATCCCACTTGATCATGTTATATCATCCTTTTAATATACTGCTGGATTTTGTTTACTAGTATTTTATGTTTGCTTTTTAATTAATTAATTTATTATTTAGACATAGGGTCTTGCTATGTAGCCCAGGCTGGCCTCAAACTTACAATCTTCCTGCTTTAGCCTCCCAAGTTCTGGAATGACATGTGTGCCACCGCGCCTGGTCTTTTTTGATGTTTTGCCTGGCCTTGGTCTCAGGGTAATGATGGTCTCCTTGAATGAGTTATAAAGTATTCTTTCCTTTTATATTTTTTAGACGAACTTGAAAAGGTTTAGTGTTATTCTTCCTTAAACATCTGGTAGTGAAGCCATCTGGTCTGGGACTTTTATTTGTTGGGAGTTTATCTTTCATTATTAATTCAATCTTTTTTGGTTGTATGAGTATATTCAGATTATCTACTTCTTCTCAAGTAAGTTTTGGTAACTGTGTTTCTAGGAATTTGTCCATTTTATTTAGGTTATCTAATTTGTTGGCATATAGCTGATTACAGTACTCTTTGATAATCCTTTTTAGTTCTGCAAGTTCTGTATAATTTCCTATCATCCCTAATTTCCATCATATGAGTCTTTTCTTTTTTATTGGTTAGTCTAAACTAAAGGTTTGCCAATTTTGTTGCTCTTTTCAAAGAACCAACTTCTGTTTTAGTTGATTTTCTCTATTTTTTTCTTTACTCTTTTGAAATGGAGTCTCATTGTATTGCTGAGACTGCTCTTGAACTCATGGCCCACGTGGTCCTCTTGACTGTTCTCTGTTTCATTTATCTCTGTTTTAACCCTCATTATCTCTTTTCTTCTTGTTTTGGGTTTCATTCATCCTTATTTTTTAAGTTCCTTAAAATGGAAGGCTAGATTCTTATTGCTCTTTCTTACTATGAAATGTAAGTGTTTACAGCTGTAGTAGACCCTTGGTGTCCGAGGGTATTTGGTCCCAGGGAGGCGGCCACTGAGGAAGTTCAGTGCGTGGAGCTGACAGAGGGCTTCTCTGCATCAACTGAGCTGCATAACATGCACATGGAACTTTCTTTTTGACAATGGTTGGC